GGTAAACTCCATCACGTTCAAAGCCATCCTCAAAATACTGCTTACAGCTAACTGTAAAACAAAATCATAATTTTAAAATCTGATTTAAGATATCAAAGCTTTTACATGAAAAATTCAGTACAGTTATTTTTGTCGGAAATTTGATGATTGGATGCTTTTAAAAGAATAAAGAAAATTATTCGAGAAAGGCTTTGAACAAAAGGATAAAGAAACCGGATTAAAATGTAATCCTGGCTGAGTGCTAATGAGCCCTCAAACAACTGGGCCCTGTGAGAAGAGAAGAACCGTAAAAGTAGAGAGTCTAGCCCCAACAGCACGCCACAGAGTTCCAAACAGAGCCATTCTATGCCAATTCCAACCCACTCCCGTTGAAGCTACTTTGTCGTTTAATGTTGGCCTCCTATGACTCAAGCATTCCAATAAAAAGTTACGGGAAGCGCAAAAGAAACGAAAACGAAATGAAGAAGTAAGTCAAGAGAGGGATTCGCTACTTCCCTGAGAGTAACTCGCAGAATCAGTTTAGTTCGGTAATTCTTGCCACCATTTTCTTTGAGAGTACTTACCATAGCACTTGGTTTTATAACAAGTTGACATTTCAAGCGTCTGTCCTCGGCAGTCGCCATCACGAACACACGAACGAATACGATACCGCATTCCTCCTCGTCCGCAATACTGACTGCACGCTGACCAACGAGACCACGGGCCAAAATCCTGTTCATCACCTTCTGCAGTATAGAGAAAAAACTGGTCGGCTTCTGAGCTCTCATGAGTCTCTTTATGAAAACGAGTCCTTTTTCTGCAGTGACTCATACGTGTGCTGACATATATGTATGTATATTCTTAAATAAGGTTTTTTTTTCCTATTTTTTTTCAAAATGATGACCGCATAGTAATGTTCACACTAACGAAGAACGAGTTCATTCTTGTAAAGAGAAAAAGGGGAAATGAAATATGCTTCGGGCTCGTTTTTTGATTTACCAGCCTTTCTTATTTCTGCAACACCTCTTTGACTTATTCTCCTTTTCTTCGGCTGGCCCAATCATAATGTGGGTAGCATGTCAGTCATGACAGATGCACGAGACTAAGCTACCACAACTTGGTGGCTATAACACAGTGGTTGGATGTCATGGGGCAAGGCATACGCGAGGGGATCAATTCTGGCCGGCTGAGCGCCAATTTCCCTACCCGCTGTGTCGCAAAATAAGCGAAAGAAATTGAAACGTCTGCAGAGATCTTTAATAAGATAAAACGTAGGGAGAGGGAGATATCGACTTTTGTGGCTGTTTGTAACTCTTGTGAGACAACCTAGTTCTACATACATGTTATCACTGAAAACCTTCGCACATGCGCAGACGTCTGACGGCTTTGTTGGTAGCTATAGCTTGTCTAGTTTTTTTTCTTCTTTACGAATGGGCGAAGACGAAAACCCTCCAGATGACATATTGAATTCAAGCAATTGAATTCATGGACATCTCGTCTGTCACTATGAAAAACCATAATTCTGAACAAATTTGCCGCCTGTTTACTAATTTCGTAAACGTTTACTATTGACATCTAAAGCAGGTTTTGCAATTGATAATTTTCGGTTCACAGCCTCCTTTGTGTACCTGACCTGAAATATCATCACAATTAACCCACAATAT